TGAAAATTACAGGCCTCTCTCATCTTTTTAAGTGGGAGAACTTGCGCAATTGGTGGCTGACCAAATACTTTTTTGCCCCACTGTGTATGTATATTTTCCCATTTCCTTCGTTTTTAAAGGCCTTTTTAAACTAAATTTGGTACCAAAAATTTAATCCAAAATTAAACATTTATATACTGTTTCAATTATTTTATGACATTATAAGACTTTCTGGTCAAGTATGTTCTTTAGTAAAATGTTGGGATACTAAGGGTCAAGGGATGAGTAGGTTTCTATTCCAGTGAAGCCCTGTTTTTGATATTCATTATCCTATTTCCTATTTGCACCTTTCTTTTGGGGTTGCTTTTGCAAAACCACAGTACCACCTAACTCAGCACATGTGGACTCATTGTCAGGAACTGTGCTTGATACCTTTTTATTGTTATCCGTTTTCCAAATGTTAATACAAGTGGTAATGTGAGTACTATCTCTTGTATGCTTCACTAAACCGATTTTTAGCCACTGATCCATTTTTGCAAGCCAATGACTGGTGCTGAACATGGGGAAGTGGGAGCTGAGGTGATGAACACACTCTGGTTTGGCCAGCTGACTTGCAGTGAACAAGGAGGCAAGGGGTTGAGGCAGTGAGCAGGCTGCCGCTAGTGAATGCAGGGAGGCTGCAGCAGACCACCTCTGTAGAACATGGTTGGAGAATCATTGCTATTAAGTAGTTGGCACCAAGTAAAAACTGTAACAATGTTTTGTTTTACCATAGTTTGGCTATGCTTGCCTCATCTGACCAAGGTTTTCTTTTTTTAAAGAAGATTTTTGTCTTACATAAATATTTTGACTTTGCTTGTTCACTACTGTATCCTTTAGAATGTGAAAGTTTCTCCTCCTAAAATAAAGCGTAACTGTCCTGGTTTTTCTGAGCAACTTTCTAGCTAAATGTATGCAAAGGAAACAGGCATATGCAGTGATACAAATGAAAGAGCTGGACAAGATTTTTTCTGTCTAGAAATTTTCTTCAAAAGAAGGCAGCTGACAGTCATGTGAAATAAAAGAATAGGACAAAACCAGTTTAAATTCAAGTATGTTTTATTTCACTCATAATTTCTGCCTTTTTCTTTGGAAACAATCTTGTAACAGTTATTAGAAACTTACTTCATCTTTTTTTCAGGCTAGTTTGGTTGGTTCTGAGCTTCTTAACAGTTACAATGGAATATAAAAGTAACAAGCTGATTTGCTGTTGCTTGTTATGCTTCCAAAATGTAACTATAAATTATTCCTTAATTCAGAGTATTACTGAGGCAGGAAGAAGAAACTAAATGTTAAATCTTTTTTCTATGTGTATAGTTCCCTTTGTTTTCAAAGTTGAGTAAATTGGGTAATAGTAATCTCTTTTTTTGCCTACTCTGAAAAAAAAAACCCACTACCAGCAGGTGGCTCCCCTCATGCACTTTTTGCTATAATTTTAAATGTAATATTAGACTAATCAATTGTTTATTTAAGTGAAAGCTTCAAAGACAGATTTATCACTCCAAATTTTTTTAATTGACATTTTGTGATAGCTATTTATGTGACTAACTTCTGAATCCCATGCCTGTGATGCTGGAGACAGCAAACTTGATAACATTGTTTGGTCTATGAAAAATAGTTTGAGGATAGCTATGCAACACAGCAGTAATATACGTTATGAATTTTACTTGAACATATTCATGTGAGACTTTTTCTCTCTTTCAGGTCTGGAATCTTTACAGTATTTTATATACTTGATGTTTCCCCAAATATGTCAATACAGACTGCAAAGCTAGTTGTTGGGATGCTTTAAGGAAAGCTACTTTCATAAGCCAGATGTTGTGAAGCTTCATTTCTGGATTTAGTTTCTGGAAGTAGTCATTTGACTGGACACCTGATTGCTACAATGGATCAAAACAACAGTTTACCACCCTACGCTCAGGGCTTAGCATCCCCACAGGTAAAGATATATAAACGATGAACTTATTGAATAACAAAACTTTCAGAATGTTTTTTAGAGACTTGCAGTGTTGGATGTGTTGCGGACTCCACAAATGCTTCACCTTACTTTGATATCTCCTTGCCTTGAATTTTAAAACAACCTTGTATATAACCTCTTTGTACCTCAATATTTGATTAGTTGCTACTTATAATGCCAGCTTCTCCACAGATCAGGACAAGTTTTTGCTAATTCCTATCTCTATCTTTTCAGTGACTTAAGTGATGGATATTAAAGAAAACAGTAACAGTTGCTTATTTTTGTACAGCTTTCCACTCTTGAGACTCCTAGTATGGACACAACAATGATTGCATGACAGACTTTTTTCAGGTTTATCTGCCTGAGTTATACATATGGATATATTTCTTGGTTTGCCCCTCCATATTAAGGAGTTACTTTTGAGTTTAACCTTCTTGTTGGAACCAGAACTAAAAGCATTGGAGATATTTTCCCCTCCTTTATTCTTTTTAGATGTGGTTAGGTGAACCATTAAGAATAGCCATCTACCTAAAATATTTTCTTTTTTCTATGTCTTTGATTTGTCTTCTTAGAGTGGAAAAGAGAGTGGTTTATTTTTCTAATTACAGAAAATAAATTAGAGTTATTTAATAAGTAATTTCAGTAATTTAAAATCCTGTTCCCTTCCCCCCCATTTGTCCACACATTAACTAAGCCAAAAGCAGCACATGTAGCTTTCACAGTTCAATTTTTTAAATAGTAATTTTATTAAAGATTACAATTACAATAGTAATAACTAATACAAACTAAAAAAAAGAATAAAAAGAAAAAACAGAAGGTGCAGAAAAGAAAGAAAAAAGAGAAAAAATAGAGAAATAGAAAAGAAAGAAAAAGAAGAATATAGTAAAGAAAAAGAAGAGAAATATATAAAGAAGTGACTTTCCCCTTCATCACAAGTATGATTTTAGTAACTTATCACCTTCTCTTAAAATACAACAAATGATCTCTTCTTCCCATATCCTTATCTATAAACAAATCCATAAAGCCTTGGCATTTTAGTCCTGATGTCAGCAAAAGTCCATTGAGGGTTACCAGAGATAACAAGATATCTATTTTAACCTTGATCAAATAAACAATGCTATATTCCTTCCTTTTACTTCTAACAGTCTTGATCTTTATTCCCTTCAAATAATGTCATAGAACTTCATTTCTTTTCATTTTTTCTTTGTCCCTTCTCATGAAGTTCTTCAAAACTTTAACAAACCTCTTTTGTAAATCCAATATAGGAAAATTATTCAGGTCACTCTCTTGGTTTATTATTTGTATATCCCTTTTAATTATTAAGACATCAGCCAGTTTCTTTTGTATGTCCAGTGTAACATCTTTTTCATATTATATCATTCATATCATTTCATATCATTCTTGTAGCCTATCATTTTTAAATCCACTTTCAAATCAGTCCCGTCAGATAGAATTTGTTCCTCTTCCATAATATCTTTTAAACACAGTCTATCTATTTATTTATTTTTATTTATATTTCAAATTTAGATACCGCCCATCTCACAAAAATTGACTCTGGGCGGTATCTAAATTTGAAATATAAATAAAAATAAATAAATAGATAGA